TTATCTTGTCACTTTGTTCTGCTGAGCTCACAAATATTCACACAATTCAAACTGACCACCATGAGCATGCAGAATCACCCTGTATTTGGACTGTTTCATCTTCTACTGTAAGTGCACAGAAATGTCTAGTTCTGCTCTCACTCTCAGGGCTGCAAGTTCAGCACTTGTAAAAATTGTCTTTAAAGACAGCAGGAATTACTACTTTACATAGGAAGCAGTTTTTGGTGAGTTTTCTTTCACTGAAATTATAAGGATAGTTTCCTAAAAATTACATTTCCAGGTGAAATGTTGGATATTGTGCTAATAAGCTACTGGAGCTTCCTAAATCTGATGCCTTATTAAAAAAAAAAAAAAAAAAAAAAAAAAAAAAAAAAAAAAGGCAAACAACTAAATACAAGCTTTCAGAACAAATCCACAATTTTCTTTTGTCTGTAAAATCAGTTTCCTGTACTGTATTTATTCAACTCAAGCCAGATGTGTTTCCACAACAGAAATGGTTTGGTATTGCATTAGGTGCATGTGTAATATTGCCCAGTCATGTTCTGTTCCTGCAAGTGCAATTTGGGAGGATGCATTCCATCTCCAAATGGTTATCTCCTACAGCAGAGGAGCTAAGGACTGCCTGGGAGTGTCTGTAGCTACCCTGGGCGGGAGCAGGAAGTATTCTGGTTGGGATTCCTTGTTGCACATCAGCAATGGATATTACACAGATGCTATACACTGATGGTTGTGCAGTGCATGCATGTTGTGCCTCTAACTAACCTTGGGGATGCTTGCCCTCAAAATCCCTGGTGTGTCCAAATCCTTCTGAGTGCTTTGGCAACAGCTGTTGTTGCAATGTGCAAAGCCCCTTGACTACAGTTTGTTAAATGTGATTAGTTTAATTTCTCTAAGACTTTAAGTTCTTTTATATTGTCTTTTGTTGAAATCACAGGAAAGTTAAGGTCCTAATTCAGACCTGTAAATGCTATGGTATGTATAAATGCCTGCCAAAATTGAAGAAAGCTGTAGCCCTGTAGCCAGCAATACTGGGATGCAGCTACTTATCCCAGGAGAAAACTAAAAATTGACAAATAACCAGTGAAAAAGCTTAAGAATAAAAAAAAACCATCAAATTTTCAGAAAAAAAATATATACACAGGGGCTGAGATTTTTTTGTAACCAATATAATACCTTGTATGAAACTGTGAAGTATACCTTCTCCATACTGTAGAGTAATATTCTGTATATTCTGTAGAGTAATAGATCCTACTAGGATGGAGGGGAAGCACAGGACACCAAATGAAGCAGGAAAATTGTGAAGCCATTTAACTCCAATGCTTTTGATGAAGGATATGTGTGTGCAGAGAATTAAGAAAGAGTCTAATGAGCCCCACTTTTGTGAATATGAAGGGAAACAAAATAATTTTTGGCAGGCTTTAAATTGTATGGATCAGGATGGAATTATCCCTTGACCGAGATCCATTTGGCAGGAATGCTGCAAGTGGGTGTTTTGGTAAAGATGTCAAGGAGCTGGAGTGGTGTTGTTCTATAAGGATAATAAAGCAGCTGGGCATTCAGTGGAAAGCATAATATTAAATACCATGTGTCCTCATTGCAGAAAAGCAGTTGGACAATTCAGATTATTTTATTCACTTACAGCCTGTGGAAATTGTAAGAGATCTGGCATAAATAGACAAAATGAATCATAATCATCACTGCATGAAGAAATGCAGGGATTTCAGATTTTCAAACTAATCATCATTCAGGAAACAACACAGAACTAAGTGAAGATGCTGTAACTCCTCTACAAATATTCTGAAAAAATAAAGAAGCTTAATATTTTAGTATTTGAACTAACAAAAGTTAGGAGTGAATTTCAGTTACATCCATTATTTGCTGCAGAGTTCATGACAGGCTTATTAACAATAATTGAACAGACAGAAAATCCTTCATCCAAGGATTATGGAAAATTAATCACCATTGTACCAGGCAGAGATTAAAATATCTTACATGAAATAGGGTGTCACTGCAGGATTTTACATGGAGCAATTGCAAGAGATTAAACTGGATTGAAAAAATATGAAATGCATGCAGATTTAAAAAAAAAAAAAGAGAGAGAGAGAGAGAGGGTGTGAATAGCATGGGGAAACAGGGAAACAAAGGAAAAATGCCTAAACTTTGTAGCGCTTTGTGCCAGGAGCTGATCAGCAGGGGAGGATGTGAGGACTCAGGCAATATGTCTGATGTTGCTCATGCAGAAGGACCCCACGTGACAGTCTCAAATCTGAGACAGGCAGGGGATTCATTCTCAGTTTGCCAGGGCATCATTCATGCCAGGGATTTGTGCTGGTGTCACAGGAATGCTTGGGGTAGCCATCAGGAGGCTGGAGACTGTTTCCTAATCCAAAACACTAGAAGACATTTGGACAGCATGCAGTATGACGAAGAGCCAATGCCAAGATGATCTTCCTCAGCCACTCTGAGACTTTGCTAGAGATAAGGCCCGAAGGAGAGTGACCCAGTGCAGGCTGCCATGAGCACGTGCATTGGGACCACCAGCTACTGCCATGTTTCTCTTCTCCAAAAGACCTGAGGCACCTGGAAGGGGGCTCCAGCCACATGTGCTCAAGGAACAGATGGGAAAGCCACTTAAATACAAGATTTGTGCCCTAATCAAGGGCAATTTTGTATAAAAATATACTACACCCATTCTACAAATATGGGCTTTCAAACTGCAATGCCTGCCACAAGACCCTTTGTAATTAAGGCAGTGACAGCTACTCCACAGAGACATGGATGAACACCTTGGGAGGAATCCATATTTTTTTGCATTAGATTGCCTTTCTGATAGCCATAAGGAATAATTCAGACCAGGGATAATTTTTTCAGTACAAGTGGTTAATGTTTGGTTTTAACAATAAACACAATTCCCATCCAAAGGAAATGAGGTTTTGTTGAAAATCATGGTGCTCCCTCTAGTTGCCTACTGATCTACTCTTCTTAGTGTAAAAGAAATTAAAACACTCACAAGAAAAAAAAAAAAGATTAAATAGTATCAGCCAGAGAAAGAACTTTTGGTAATATAAGCTGAATGTTTGGCATTACAAACTGAAACCTAGCAGCTTGTTAACATAGCGAATATATGGCATTACATCAAGTTTGCTTGCTGCAAAATATCTAAAGTTCCAAATTTCAAATGTACTATTTCTATTGCATAGCTTTTCCCTATAAAGGCAAAAGTACCAATTCCTGAGCATTTCTTTTTCTGCTGCTTCGTCAAAATCCAGAAAGCATTCTGCAAAGTAAAGTGAAATAATTGATGTTCAGAATATGCTGTACTTAACTAGCAGGTGATATTTGGGGAAAGGTATGGGATGCTAGCTCTATAAAACTCTTATTTGCTGCATTTATTGAACTCCTAAAGAAACTGTTTACTTACTGTGTTTAATAGACATGTATAGGATGAAACAAGAAAGAGACAAACCTCCTACTGAGCAGTTAAAGAGTGTGATGGTGGAGACCTCTTACAGGAAGGTTAGAAGAATAGGGTATGAGAGAAACTACTCAAGTAAAATTTAACGTGCAACTGCTGGATGATGTGTTGAGTCTTCCTGCAGAGTGTATCTGTATGGAGACTTCCTACTACTAAATATTACCTGTTACAGGCTTTTTATAGAGACAGATTGCTTTATGCTTAAAGTTGTATTGAAAAATGGCTAGTTGGCCATTACAGTCTGAATCTTCAGCCTGATGCTAGAATATTTTTACATTAAAACTACCCATGATGTCTGTCCAAGGTTATGTGGAGTGTAGATGTAATGTCCTATGAATTTGACAGAAACAAGAAAAAAAAAAGCAACAGTATCTGCAAGAGATAATATATACATTAGAGAATAATTACCTATGCCTAAATACACGAAAATAGCTCCAGTTTATAGGTTTCTGCTCCAGGGTTGGAAAGAGACAGACTTTCCTTGGAATTCCATTTGCAAAGTTTTATTTGTGTGATAAAATTTAATCATCTGATAGATGCTGTTGTCTTCAGCTACTTCAAACATATATGTTAGGCAGGTACTTCATGCTTTGTGAGCCTTGGTTGCTTGCCCTCATTTATGATGATGAATGGAAAGAGAAGACAATTATCTTTCTAATTTGATTCACAGAAACTGTGAATAAAGTCTCGGATCTTGCAGCTTCTTCTGCCCATGAGGAAAACTTAGACAGTGACAAGGAAGGAGTAGCCTCAGCAGCTCAAGAGATTTCTGATATAGACTCAAAGAGCCAGGACAACGATGCTGAGGAGTTGTGGTGAACTTCAGTCCAGCTGGGTCTGAAATGTTTGTGTCTGTGAAGTGCTGGCGGCTGTGTGCACTGAACCAGCTGCAAGAGCATGCAGAACTCAAGTGATGCAGTGTGGCTGCCCATGATGGCTGTGTTTGGCATCACAGTGTTAGCAGAAAATCTAATTTTCAAATTATGTGTGGTGCAGTAGAAATAGGTTGCTAAATTTGATTGTGGCAGTGTGGTGAGCTCAGTGCCCTGCTCAATAAGTGGCTGGATGTGAACTTCATTAAGAAAGGAAAATTCTCCTTGTGCTGCATATAACACATTTTTTCAACATCTGTCTTGATTTGAAAGACAGAATTTTCCTAAATCGCATTGGTGTCAAGAAAAATATATTGCATGTGGTATGAATAAAGCTTGCAGTGCTTTGATGCAACTATAAATAATTTCATATTGCTATTGAAGTTGAATGATGTAATTGAATGCAAAGAAAAATGTGTGTTAAAATCATTACTTTGTAGATTTTAGGGTGGAGTTTAGAAGTTTGGCCTCTAAACTCTTTTAAAATTAGAATAAAAAAGCTAAAAGGAAAAATGTCAGCATACCTAATACAGCTTTGTAAATTCTATCCCTTTAGTCCAAGGATCCTTTGGACTAAGGGAAACAACTTGACTATTTGTCATTGAATAAATAACTTCCAGTGTTTCTCATTGGTGTTTTGTCTCCATTTGCAGTTTCTGAGGAGGAGAAGACAACTGAAGAAGTTGGTAAAGAACCCTAAAGGTACACAGTACAGTTGCAGCATGTGGTTTTCTGCTCTTCACCTTTCTTTTGTTCACAGTTAGTGGCAATTGCAGCGTGTGGTAAATGCACATGCACTGTTATGGTGAATTTGTATTTCTTCTCTCAACAACAACAACAAAACTTTGTTGAGGTATTTATTATGTTTTGGGAACCACTCCTGGCATCTTTTAGAGGCTAGGGAGCAAATCCTGTATAAATTGTCACACTGTGTATTTACTTATAGCTTTATCTTAGTCCCATGCAAACTGGATAAAGACCTGAGAGTTGTAGCTTTCTTCCAAGCAAAAATCATTCTTTGGTTATTTAGTTTAAATTATATGTGTCTACTGGACTTCTGGATTATTGTCCCATGGACTGTTTTATTTTAAATAAATTCTTTCATTATTAGTCTCTCTGCACTTTCAATTTGTGCTAATGAAAAATACTGAATATAATATTCTTTCTATTTGCTAGTGTCTTTCTCATGTGGCTTTATTTATTTTTTTTATTGTCAGATAAGTTACAAGCATGTGCCTCTCAAGGTTTTTATTTTTGCCCAAATTGAAAGCTAAGGGTACCTCAGAGTGCCACATCAAAAAATCAAATTACCAATAAATTCTTTCTGTTCTGGAACACATAAATGCTGTGGTATAGACAAGGCAGTTGAGTTAGGAATCTTTTTTTTTCCTTGTAAACATCTGACAACCCTACAAATTGTTGCTATTCCAGATTTTGATTTAGACAACAGATACCTTCTATAGCCAACTCAATTAATGAAGGCAGAGATTGTAACTGAAAAGTGTGGGGGTGGCAGGGAAGGCAAGCTGTAGGAAACATCTTTGATGTAATAAATTGAAAATAGATTAAAAAATAGATTAATCTCCTACTAGTGTACAGGTTCACTTAATTCTGCTTAAATTGCTTGTACTCTTTTTGACAAAAAAATTACTTGTTATGAGTATAGCAACACAAGGTTACAAAAGGGCCTCTTATTGTGTTTCGATTTGATCTTGTTGGCAGGGGGAAAATGATTTATGAAATATTTTACTATTTGTTGCTGAAAGATTACTGGCTGTCATTTGTCCAATTTACAAGTCTAGAACCACACTGCATTCCCAGTCAGAAAAGAATTATTCTTTCTTCCTTTTTTTTTTTTTTTTTTTTTTTTTTGGTGTTTTGATTGTAAACACTTTGGAATATGAAGCTTAACTCTGACTTTGCATTAAAACACATTATACTTTTTAAGGAATTCAAGGCAAAGAAAATGAAATTTAAAGAACATTGATGTGCGAATCAAATCACTACCTAGTTAACTTTTTTAAAAAATTACTGATTATTTTGTGAAGGGATAGAGGAAGTAGTAATGAATTAAATCCTCAGATAAAGCCCTAAGTTGATGCTCAGAGCATGCCTGAGTAAATATATTCAGCCATTCCTGGGTGTGGCTATTGGGCCCAAACTGATGCTGCTGTGGAACTACTTGTATCAGTAATCTCAGCAAATACAATTGGTTTACCTTGTGCTTAAATTTAAGCACAAGCTTCTAACTATTTGTAGAAGCCCAGCATGCAGGGGAATTCACTTATGCCTGAGCAATGTGGATGAATGTGAGGGATTTCTTGAAACTGGGCTTTGGTGATGGCAACAGAGCAAGTTTCCCCGAGCTGTCAGATAAGCATGATTTATACATCAGTGCTGTGTATACTCTGTAATTCAATTAACTGTAACATGCAGTCAAATTTACAGTGTGCTTTGAATGTTTGCAAAGAAAATGACCTGCTGAATTGTGTCTGTTGCTAAACATCATTTATTGTTGTTTCCTCTAAATCAGATTTTTTTTTCTTTTTCCCCAGTAAACAGTGTGGACGTCTTTGAAAAGTTTAATGCAAATATTTGTGGCAATTAACCAGCTGATTCCTGTGTGAAACCTCTCTTCCTTGAAGACATAAAAGAAACTGTGCAGTTTGTCCTACCACACATTGGTCACTATGGCCAGTATTCAGTGCTGAAGGAAATGAATTGCATTGCCTAGAGAAATGCTTCTGTGACTAACAACTCTGCTGTAGAAAGTAGCATCCAGTCAAGCCACTCAGCATGTCCTAAATACATGTGCTAAGAGAAGCAGTATGATGCCAGATGAACTCCTTCTATGTCTTTGTTGTCCTGATACGTACATTGATTTCTTACTTTTGGTCCAAACTGTTGTGCATAGTTATACATTAGCATTCCATGCTAAAATGTAAGCAAAAGGTTTTAAAATCAGGCCAAAATATTATAAAAGTAACTGTTAGCATTTTCAAATTGGATCACAGGAAAAATAACATGTTTGCTCCTGAGTTTGGATTTGAGATTGTAAGCACAGGACATCTGGCTGCATATGACCTAATTTTCCCCCTGCATAAACATTTCAGCTGCTACCATTCCTTGCACAGTAACATCCAGGAGTAAGCATTTTAAGGCTCCTGCTTTGGGAAGAAAACCTGTTCACAAGTAGTAGCCGTAGGTACTTTATAGCCTGACAATCAAAATAGCACAGGTTGGTGTTTTCATCATGTATCAAAGTGGTGGCTGGCTCCTGCCTTGGGTGTGCTGGGCTCTGCTCCTCCCAAATCTCATTCAGCTTGCTAGTCTTTTCGTGTTGCTCTGTCTTGGCAGTGGCATGTAGTGGTAGTGTAACAACACTTGGTATAAACCTTCAAGCTGATACAAATCACAAGCCCTTTAGGCCACGGCAAAGCCTGTCTCTAGAGCATTTGTACACAGAGTGCAAAATCCCTGTGAAGGGCTATGCAACAGGTGTTCAAATGGACAGGCATTCTTAGGGACTAAAAAAGGACCAAATAGCTAAATAACCTTGTTTTCTCAGTATTAGCTTCATAAAAAATACATTCATTATGAATAACAGGTTTGTTTGTGTCTTGGTTTGGAAAGACAGGTGTCTGCTAAGGAAGGCAGGAGCCTCCCCTAAAATGGAAAAAATGTAAACCCCCTCCCTCCAAATTTTTATAAATTTTAAATTAAGGGGCTCTCAGGCAAAAATATTGGAGCAGGAATAACAGTTCTTTATTAGGGAAGAAAATTAAAAGATAAAATAAACAATTTTGTAAACCAAAACAACACTGACAGTCAGAATACAACCTGACACCCTGTTGGTCAGGGTGCTGGTAGCAGTCCAATTGGAATTGTGGCTGCAGCCCTCCTGGAGTATCAGGAGTGGTTCTGTTGGAGCAGAGATCCTGTAGAAGGGTGTATTCTTCCTCTGCAAATCCAGGGGACGACGCAGCTGTTCCTCTGGGAAATCCAGTGGAGAAGCTGTCTTGCTGTCCCAGGATCTCAGATTATATCTAGGTGGGAATGCTTGGCTCCTCCCTCTGGGAAGAGTGTCTCACAGTAGGTTGCTGTAATTCTTATCAGTCATGCAGTGACATTCAATAGCCCACTATCAGCAGATGTCTCTCCGGAAGGAGGATTGGTTGTGGAAGAGATAAAGAAAAACTGCACAATTAACAGAGTATAACAGCCACACCTCTAACAGATGGCAAAGAGAATACATCTTGCCTTGCAATCTGGGACAGTATGCCACTGTACTCCCAACCCTCCATTGTGCTATGTGCATGAATGTGCATCTGAGACCCCATTGCAGCCATCACAGAATGGCAATGGTTTTAAACCAGAGCCAAATAAGGTATGTTATGTACTATTTATATAGAAAGTGTGTTTCATAAGATGTGGCTGACTCTTTTCTCTTCAAGCAGAAGTTTGGAAAATGTTGAAAGAGAAACAACAGCATTAAGACATTCCTGCCCACAGGACAAAGCAACACATGCTCTTTCCCCCATCATAAAGCAAATTATAATAGTGTTCCAACAAAAATACAGCCTGTTGCTCCTAGACCTACTTAGGAATAACAGGAATAAGGCAGAAGAAAAAGCAGGCTCCTAAGATTCAAGAAAACAAACCACAGCCTTCTGCTTAAAGGATAAAGCCTCTGTGATTAAAAGCAATTTCTGTAGACCAAGCTACTGGAATAAAAATCTTAGACTGATATTTTGTTGAATACGAGTCTATATTTATCTCATGGATTAAAAGTGCTGTGATGGATGTATGCACTTAAATGTTCTATTTCGTCATTTTCACTAATTCCTAGTAAAATAAGCTATTTTAACTGCATCTAACAGTAGGGTTTCTGATATGGTAGGCTTTTCTGAATGGCTCTTTATCTCTGGAACTGTTCTGTACATGGCAAAATATGTTAGCCCTCTGGAACAGCTGCCTGAATGATTAAATCACAAACTATGGTTTCCAAAGTTTTTCGTCCTTTCAATTTCAAAAAATTGTGAGAGTCCCAAACAGCCCATACATGTGCTTTATGCCAGAGTTCCTCTTTTTTTGCTTTTGTTTCGTTTAGGTTTTTAATTTTTAAAAAAGAAAGGCATGCAGCACAGTATGATCTGCTTCAGCACTCGAATATCTTAGAGTAACAACAGTGATAGTTTGCAATTCACAGAGGTCTGGCCATTGTTGATTCAGTCTTACTAGTATGGAGTCTGAATATCACATAAATTAAATTTTTTCTGTCCATCACTTTCAAAAAGTGAATTTTTGAGTTGCTACACAAAGGCTGCAATGAACCATGGAAAATGTTGAAAGATATTGTTGAGATGGATCCTTAAGGGCAGCAATGCCAGAGCAGAGAACAGACATAATGCAAGACTAAAGGAGATCAAATTGGTCTTGAGAATACACTTCACAGGCCAGAGCAAAGCTTGAGATTCCAGAATTTGTCCGAACTACGCATTGCTCCTTTGCTGTCAGCAACCATCTGTGAAAACAGCTGTCAAGGATTTTCACCTCCCTCTAGTGCCCATTAGTCCCTCTAGTTCGCCTCTCTGAAGGGTGACAGCCTGTTGCTGCTGGCAGCTGTTCACAGATGATGAAGTCCATCTCACAATTTCAGGTTTACTTTTTGCCTGTGTTGCTATAGGTACAGCATTTCAATTTTATTTTCATTTACTTCTTCAAAACATAAGACAATTGCTAAAAAAGCATAATTCAAACTGCAAGCTTGTACTCAGCACTTAGGAAATCCAAGAGTGAAATACTTTAATCAAAATTCCTTATATCTCTGCAACAGGCTTTGATGTTTTTTAATCTGTTTTTCTGGAAAAGAAAAAAAAAAAAACCACAAGAAACCCAAAACAAAGACAAAAACCCAAAGAATTCCAACCCAGCAAAGAATGTGCTGTGATTCTTTTCCTCACCTGGCGGGCTTTTTCTGTCAAAATTTTTGAGCCAATTAGCCCCCCAACTTCTGCTTTACCAGGCAGGTGGGAGGAACACACAGTTCCAGCTCAGTGATGAATGAGGAAATCAGTGGCTAAAATGATTAATTGTAGTGTTTGGCATCATATAAGGAAATACATGATGCAGCTCTATGGCACTTTTGTGGCTGCAGTCACCTACTGTAGGTGCTGTTTTCTCCTTGTGAGTGTTTAGGAAAGAAGGAGAGGAGAGCTGAAAGGACAGAGGCACATGGAGGGTGAGGGGACAAACAGGGACAGAAGGAATTTTATGTGAAAGGGCATTGCAGCTCACTTTGTGTGTTGCCCATGGGTTGGCACATTTCCATGGAGTGCCATCCCTGCTGTGACACAGATAATTCTGTTCTTCGGAAAGGCATTACTTGGTTGTGTGCTTTTCTTGCTCTGCTCACCTGCTGCAGAAAATGGAGGCTGTGCAGGATGATGGAAGCTAATTCCATTCCCAAGCAATAGGTATCAAGCATCACCATGGGTAATTGGATTCTCCTGCATCCTGGGCGTTATTCCTTTATTTGGAATGGTGCAGGAGATTTTGTCTTCTCCAGTTTTATTGGAGGGGGAAAAGGGCTAAAACTGTAGGTTTCTATGCTGGAGTTATTTCTGCTACTTGCTTGAACTACAGGTAATTAAACAGTGTGTTGAAACAGCGTGGTTTGCTTGTGGTTTACTGAGAGAAACCAGTTTAATCTTTATTTATGCCTCAATATATATTATAAATCCATTTTATGACATGGGGTTGATGCCTCAGGTTTTAGCTTTTATATTTTTCAAATTCTGTGCTGCTTTAGTGTGTGGGTCTGGGCTTCATATAAGGGGATAGTGAGCTCTCTGTGAAGACCAAGCTCTCTTGGGGACCCAGGACAGCCAGTCCAGATCTCAGGCCCAAGAGCATAAACAATGGTGAAATTGTTATAAATGAAGTCCCATATGTCTAATTTAATAAACCACGAACTTAAAATTTAGCAGCAGTTTTAACTGAGATAAAATACTGCAATCAAATATAATCCAGTAGTTACAGAAAGAAATTTGGCAGTGCTTTGGATAAAGCATAAGCAAAAACCGATCAATTGGGATACGGAGAGGGCTTCCCACCCTGCCTCACGTACAAAAGGCAAAAGGATCCAAACACAACTTATATACTGTATGCTAATACATATCCATTAATACTTTCCCATAAATCTCCTGTTTCCAATTCTTGAAATTTACGTCACTATAGCGCATGCTCCCGCTGTTGCTAAGGGGTCTTCTGGCTCTTTGGTGGTCTCTTTGGAGGAAGGCTCACTGTCTTCCTCGCTGTCCTCTGAATAACCTGGCAAGCTGTGCATGCGCCCCAAGTCTTGTGTTATGTAAGTAAGCACTATGTTCCATTTAGCCTTATTATTTCGTACATAAGACCATTATTTTAGAATTCCTGTCTGGAATTGTCCCAACTTTATTCATGGCAAGGCTGATCCTGTCCTGGGAGTTGTCTTACACATGCCAATTTTGACTTGGGAGTCTTCCTAAGTTTTGTTCATCAAGGCCGATTCTGATCGCCTGTATCCTGTTTCCCACAAGTATTATCTACAAAGAAACCCATCTGCTTCACTAATCACATATACTTTTCCAATTATTTTCCCAAAATATTTATATAATTACAATTTTGTTAGCATGAATCACCTCCATTTATCACAAAATGAAGAGAGAAAAACAAGAAGGATGGAGCTTCATGGGCTGGAGCTGTAATTGGACAATTAACTCCAATATGCTAATGGACCAAAGCTTTTGGAAGTGTGAGATCCCGTGACCAGTTGTCCATTTTCATGACCATTTTGGGTTCACCTGGGTTGTAGCCCTGGCTGGGCTCTTGTGCTGCCCAAGGTGGATCTATTGAAGCCTCCTAGTAAATACCTACTTTATTCTTTACCTCTGTCTAGTCTCTGTTCTAGGTCAGCCTTCTCAAGGCATCAGGGTGAAAAATACTAAAGGGGCTGTACACATGCGGGGAGCCTTATGCAAGAGGCAGCTGGGACATGTGAGGGGGAAAGAGACCACCAACATTACAGTCTCTAAACAGGCAACCGCTTTGGAAAATGGTGGGAAGCCCTATCTCTGAGGGGACTTTGTCTTCTTAGAGCAGAGAAAGCCTCCACGAACAGGCCACAAGCAAGTGACTGACCGACTGACACCCTCCTTGTGGTGGGACAGGCCCCTGGATGCCTGGGAAAAAATGCCCAGGAAATCGGGCTACGGGAGGAGTCCAAAAAAGCATTTAACTGTGACATAATTAGCCCTGACTTTTTTTTTTTTTTAGTTTCATGGAAGGAGTGGGGTCTCACCTGGAGGTTCAGCTCGTTCGGCCCCCCTCTCTTGCACACATGCTCTATCTGCCAAGCAGATGCTGACAGGGTGTCCTGAGTGTGATAGATGAGTAATGCAATGGCTGACTCTCACAACTACAAGGCAAATATTATGTATATTTTAAGAGAAGCTTTATAAATTTATAGTTATGTTTTACCCTCATCCTTTCATTGTTATCGCAGCATGGCCTGGGTAGTCAGGGCATTTGGGAAGGTCGGCTTGTTACTATGGCAACACCTGACCTCCAATCAAGATGTAAGAAAGTGATCTCCACCACTGGACAGCAAAGAAAGAGTTGATTGACAAGACTTTGGGGGGAGCTAAAGGGTTAAAAGGCGAAATATCCGTTGTGTGGATGAGGACATGGTGAAAAAAATTCCTTTGCTCACTGTTGCCACATTTCTCTTCACAGAGAAAAGCAAGACACAGTTCTTCCCAAGGATTTCTGAGATTCACATTCCCTGTACCTCAGAGAAAGGGAAAACACAATTCTTATCACTTGCTGTGCCTGTGTTGTGCCAAAGTAGAATGCAATATGGAGACTGTTTACCCAGAGTGATGGGTAAACCCCATAGGCCTTCCTTGGCCTATGAAGGTCAAGAGTGTGTGTGTGTCTGGACTGTCGGCTGAGAGTCCCGGGACAGCCAGGAGATGAGTGCAGTTCTGTGCAGAGTGAGTGCTTGGCAGATTCAGTCTAGATTTATGTAATATAGTATAATAAAGTAATTAATTAGCCTTCTGATTATACAGAGTCAGATGCATCATTCTCTCCTCTCCAACGTTCTGGGACGCCTTGATACTATAGCTCATGGCACTGTAATATTTTCTCCATTCAGTCTTCTGTTGCATTTTTCATAATGTTTTAATAAACCTTTTAAACATTTTGGAAGTGGGAATAATTTCTCACATGAGGTACAGTGGTAACTCTCCTTTCCTCTCTCTACTCCCTTTTCTGTCCCCCTTTGGTAGGAACACTTATCTTTCTTTATCAATAAACACTTCTCAGATATAATATTGCTGCGTTTTTTGAGTTGGGAATCCTCGCCAACTCCCCTTGTAGCAGGATGGGACATTTCTCTATCTGCAGACGTTAGCACTTCTACTTGATATTTTACCCAACTGAAATTATGGTTTTAGCACGCTCTGAAAGGATGATTTTGATTAATGTCTAACAGCTCCTGTGTAACAAACAGGAAACTTCTGAGCAACAGAAAATTCTTCTTTGTGTAGTCAGTTAATTATTTGTAGAAGATTTCATGTGCAAATCCAGTCTCTTACTTACCTAAAAATCTTGCTTTTTTAGTTTCATAACTAAAAATAGTTTCCCTTTAAAATTAAAAACCTTCATGACTTGGAGATGTTCAAAAAAATATATGCGTGAGCTCTGCTTTAAAAAAAATATAGGCGTGCCCTAGGAAAAGTGTTAAAATTGTTGTAGTTGCTGTGTTTCATCTCAGGAAGTACAGTTGCCTGTGTGTTATCTTAGTTCAGCACTGACTGTGGTATGCAAACCAATTAAAGAGGGAAATATAGAGAAGTGAAGAGGAGAGAGAAAAATATGTATGAAAATGGTATTTTCTCTTTCTGTTCTGTAATATAATTAAATTACTGAGGCCCATGGAGGTTCATTGATCACTCCCGCAAAATGTGATGATTTTTGAGAGACAAACATATGTATGAAAATGGTATTTTCTCTTTCTGTTCTGTAATATAATTAAATTACTGAGGCCCATGGAGGTTCATTGATCACTCCCGCAAAATGTGATGATTTTTTTTTTTTTCCTGGCTTCCTTCTTCCTGCATAAGGCTATCTTCTTTCTGAGTAGTTAATGGGAAATGTTATTATCCAGTGAGGGCTAATTGAGCATAATTAACCATTGGATAACTCACATCATCAAGCAGAAGAGGGCAGTAAATCAAAGGGAGTAAGATTACTAAAACCTGGGACAGAGAAAGAACTGCTCATCCCCAAACCCTGGAGCTGAAAATTACAGGAGAAATTAATAATATATGCTTTTCTCCCACTGAAGAAAATTGGCTTGAGTTTTTGTTTGTTTGTTTTTTGTTGTTTGTTTGAGTTTTTGGTGTTTTTGTTTGTTTGTTTTTATTTGTTGTTTGTAGAAAATCCAAATCATACAAAAAATACTTTTATTCTGCTGTTTTAGTAAGTGACTAATTTCCAATTCAACATGTTCGGTGCTGAGGTTCTTATGAAGTGAATAGAGCCAAACTGGGATTAAGTGTTCAAGGCTTGACAGTTCTTGCCTCTGGGAATGTCTTTGCTACCATTTAAATTATTAATGAAAGTCTATGAAATCAAAATCATGGCAGTCTCACCTCTCTTCGCTTACTATTGGCAGCAGCAGGAGGTTACACAAAGGACTCAATTATAGTTATAAACAAAGAGAAAGGGACACTTTAAAGTGTCTGAAGTTGCTACCTTATGAGAAACCTTTAATGGCTTGATTTCTATCCCACTGCCTTTCTACATGTCTCCTCCCAGAGTCTTGTGTTCTATACCAGTTCTGAGATATCCTCACTCGCCTCTGTCAACGTGAATTGCAGAGCCTGGCTGTTTCTAAATGAAAAGTAGCTTTCAATGTATTATGCTATGGAAAACAAAAATGTCCTTGAGGACAATTATTTTGTATTTTTTCTTTAAACTAAAATAACTGAAAATAAACTGGTTAGCCTCTGTATGGAATTTCTTCTTCACCATTTCCAAACAGTTTCCCTGTATAAGAAGTGGACATTGTGTTTTGTGCTACCTCTAAATTAAGAAAAGCAACATGCCATATATATTCCATGTATTTTCCAAGTGAAAATGAGGTAAAGCCCTCTTTCACTCTGATTCTTTTTCTTTCTCAAATATTGCAACTGCTGTATTTTAAAGTCTAACATACAGCAACAAACTCCTTAGTCCTTTATTTATATGTAATTATTTCTTTTTTAAAAGCAAGATAAACTTATTCAAGCATAAAATCCTGCCTGAAACAGGTTTGTTTTGACATTGCATTGTTCCCCTGCTCAAATCACTTAACTCCCATGTATTTAATGGTTTTACAAGTCCTGCTGAGTATTAGAAGGTTCTTGACCTTACCAACTTTACAAGCAAAGTAGCACTGTGGATTTAAGGAAAGGAAGGTGTTCGGATGTTTTAGTTTGATGTTTTGCTTTATTTTATTTTGAATTGTGTATTATTAAGGGAAAATTATAAATTAGATGGAAGGAATTCAGAAAAGATTAGGTTTTAACATGCAATTTAAAGGCCTTTACAGTAAAACATAAGTTGCTTTAGGAGCTTACAGTATTGTCACAGTTATGGGAGCTGGGGAGATGACACAACATCGTGGTTTCATGCAGCAGAGAGAGCTTCCATGGTGTGCACAGCTCCTATTACCCTATTCAAAAGACTCTGCGTTTGAACCTGACTGGCTGTGAAGGGTTACCACCCAGCTCACTTGGCCAATAGCTACCTGCTTACATTCATGTCAGGGTTTGGCAGGCATCTGCTTTCTGTAGCCAAACCCCTCTTCCTTTCAGGCTCACAGACCAGCTGTTTTGCTGTCATACAGTATGAGTAAAATCAGGGGGGTGGATAGGAAGTTCAAGTAAATATGAGTTAAGTTGACACTAGTGACGTGTCTTCATAGCACAGAAACCTAGCAGCACGTCTGAAACTTTGTCTTAATTCATAGCTTCCAGCTGCAGAGTAGAGCACGTTCTTCATAACTGGTCCTGTTCTGACTGGGCTAAGGGTTATTGCATGAGTGATCTCCTGCTTGATCTGGGCAAAGGCTTGTTGCTGTTCAGGGCCCCAGTGGAAAGTGTTCTTTTTGTGGGTGACCAGGTAGAGAGGGCTCACGATCTGACTATACTCAGGAATATGCATTCTCCAAAAATCTATGGCGCCTAGGAAAGCTTGTGTTTCCTTCTTGCTGGTTGGTGGACACATTGCTGTGATATTGTTCATGACATCAGTTGGAATCTGGTGCCATCCATCTTTTGCCACTTTACTCCCAGGAACTGGATTTCTTAAGGTCATTTAACTTTGCTCTTCTTGATTATGAAGCTGGTTTTTAGGAGAATCTGGATTATTTTCTCTCCTTTTTCAAACAACTTCTGCTGTTGTGTTCCCCCACACAATGATGTCATCAATATATTGCAGATGTTCTGGAGCCTCACCTTTTTTTAGCGCAGTCTGGATCAGTCCATGGCAGATGGTAGGACTGTGCTTCCACCCCTGGGGCAGTTGGTTCCAGGTATACTGCACTCCCCTCCACGTGAAAGCAAATGGAGGCCTGCATTCTGCTGCCAGAGGAATGGAGAAAAATGCATTGGCAATGTCAATAGTGGCATACCACTGTGCTGCCTTGGACTCCAGCTCGTACTGGAGTTCCAGCATATCCAGCACAGCAGCGCTCAGCAGTGAAGTCACACAGGCCAAATGGGGCTGTTGAAGGGTAAGTGGGTTTTTCTGACCCCACCCTTGGCTCTCCAGCTCACGGATCATCTTATGGATGGGAATTACAGCATCATGAGTTATTCTGTACTGTCGGCAGTGCACTGTCGAGGTGGTAACTGGTACTCGTTGCTCTTTTACCTATAGGAATCCTACTGTAGACGAGTTCTCTGATAGTCTAGGTAAGGTGTTCAATTGCTTGATGCTTTTTGTTTCTACAGCTGCTATCCCAAATGCCTACCTGAGTCTCTTTGGGTCTTGAAATACCCACTTCGGAGGAAGTCTATGTTCAAAATGCATGGGGCCTCTGGGCCAGTCACAATAGGGTATTTCTTCTCCTCATTTCCAGTCAATCTCACATCAGCTTCTACCAAAGTAAAATCCTGTGATCCCCCTGTCAACTAGCAATAGAAACAGGCTCTGCCTCTACACGTCTTGATGGGATTAATGTGCACTGTGCACCAGTGTTGACCAAGGCCTCATATTTTCATGGTTCTGATGTGCCAGGCCAACGAATTCACACAGCCAAAAAATCACAGTTTTTCCTAGCCTCTACCTGTCTAGATGCAGGACCCCTCTAAGCCTGGTTATCTTTCTTTCCCTGGACATATCTCTCAGAGGTTCCTTCAATGGGATCAGACATGTCATGTTCATCATTTCTCGGGGTTTGGCTATGGGCCACTGGAGCTGCTTTTTTTTTTGGTGTAACTTCCTCTCTGAGTCTTGTTGTCCTTCAAGCACCCATTGCCAGACCACCCGTTGCCAGAGCAGCAGTAGATTTTCCATCTTATCTCCTTATGTTTTCTCTATAATTATGCAGGAAGAACCACAGCTCAGCTTGCGGGGTGTACCTTCTCTCTCTATCTGGGGAATGTTTGCGTTTGGTATCAGAACTTTTGATCTCACTGCCGAGATTTGGAGAAGGTCTTCTTTAATCTCCTCCCTGAGTTTCTTGTGAGTCTCCTCTATCTTATCTTCTAATTTCTGCATGTGTGTTTCTAAAACTGCAATTCTTGCATGTGTTGGGCCATGCATGGCATCTGCCTATGCTTGGATCTTCTTTTCCATATCAAGCACAGTCTCTTCTTTTTCATCCTGCTCTATTATTGCTAAAGCAGAAGCATATTTGCGTGGCCTAAGTTGTACAAGTTTTTGCCACATCACGGATGTACATGGTACCAAGTCTGGATTTACAGTGTTTACACCATCTGAGATGACAATCTCTGCCATTGCCATTTCTCTTAAGTGTTGAATCCCTTGTTCTATGGTCTTTCACTGGGTTTGCTGCATATAGAGATCGCCTGCATACAGATATTTTTGTGTCTGGGGAATGTTTGCGTTTGGTATCAGAACTTTTGATCTCACTGCCGAGATTTGGAGAAGGTCTTCTTTAATCTCCTCCCTGAGTTTCTTGTGAGTCTCCTCTATCTTATCTTCTAATTTCTGCATGTGTGTTTCTAAAACTGCGATTCTTGCATGTGTTGGGCCATGCATGGCATCTGCCTATACTTGGATCTTCTTTTCCATAACAAGTCTCTTCTTTTTCATCCTGCTCTATTATTGCTAAAGCAGAAGCATATTTGCATGGCCTAAGTTGTACAAGTTTTTGCCACATCACGGATGTACATGGTACCAAGTCTGGATTTACAGTGTTTACACCATCTGAGATGACAATCTCTGCCATTGCCATTTCTCTTAAGTGTTGAATCCCTTGTTCTATGGTCTTTCACTGGGTTTGCTGCATATAGAGATCGCCCACATACAGATATTTTTGTGCCACGCTTCCCAATACCCGTGCCCAGAGGCTGTGAGGCTTAGCCCCCCTCATCATTCCTTGGTTGATGAAAGGATCATGTGACAGGGATCCCAAATGCCTCACTTCAGTGCCATCCAGAATTGTAGCCTCACCTGCAGCATCCCAAAGACAGACTAACCAACTAATTATAGGTTCATCAGGCCGTCGGGTGTAATCATTCCTCAGGCCGCAAAGGTCCTTCAGGGAAAAGGACCCAATAGTGACTTCTGATTTTGTGTTAGTAACTGGCTATGAGGGTCCTTCCCCCGGATCATCATTGTCCACAGGCTGATTGGTTTTGGTTGTGTGTTTTCCACCTCTCATGGTAGGAGAAACAGCCATTGGCTGAGGCTCATTGTCTGGTTTAGTTTCAGGTTTAGGCTCACTGTCTGGTTTAGCTATGGGCTTAGGCTAACTGTCTGATTTAGCTACAACCTGAGTAACTGGGTTACTCAGTTGGCTGAGGTGTTGGCTGCAGCCTGAGTGACTGGGGTATTTGCTGATTTATCTCCCTGTCCCTCTGCCTCTGTCTGCTGCCCTACAGTATCTAGCAGTGTGCGATAAGCATATGCTATGGCCCAGCTTACTGCAATAATCTTTTTCCCTTTAAAGTCATCATGGCAGCTATCTCTCAGGTATTTCCCTACCTCGTCTGAGTTCTGAATTTGTTCACATGAAAATTCCCAGGCTAGGGGATCAGAAAATTCCTTCAGGGTTCATCCCATTCTCTCCCATTCTCCACAGCACTCAGAATTTTCCATACCTGGGTCTACTTCTGGGTCAGGGGTCTGTCTCATCAGCTCTTCTGGACATCTCAGTCCTCATTCTAGAGAAGTTGCAGACCATATAAAGGAATTACCAGATTAAATACAAGGAAGGTCTCTTTTAACATTCATGGGAAACTGAACTTTCTCAAAAAGTGACTTAACAGATTCAAAGAAGACGGAAAGGAAAGGCTGGGAAACCTCATCCCCCACTCTTCTTCTGGGCGCAACAAACTGGGTACAATTACTAATAAACCCCCAAAACATGCTACTCGAACTAGGATGCAAGGTAGGATGAAGAAACTATAAACCACACGTATCGTGAACAGACTCCAGTACCTCTGTAAACTCTTTATAAATCATTATCACTGAGCCTAGCAAAACAGCTATTCGAATCTGTGCCCCTCTACTGTAAAAACTGTGTGTTAGGGACAATACTGCAGCTATTTCTGGATAAGAAAATAAGACTAGGGACCAGAAAGGTATCAAAACCTCAAAATAGCCTACGGACAAAAAACATGAAGGCTTCCACTCGAACATCACAAATTCAAGCAACATGGCTACTTACTGCCTTATTCCAATACAGAGCAAGTACAACTAAAATGCAATCAGTGCAGGTTTTTTTCTACTTTCTCAAGACACGTTGGGTACCAAAAATGTATTTGTCCTGATTTATGGCAAATCTGGGAGAAAACCTCTAAAGGGGCTCCTCTAGAAAGCAGATTTAAGCATTCCCTCCCGCAGCTGGCTTGGGAAAAAAAGATTTCCTTGGAGAAAAGTGGAAGAAAAACCTGTTTATTTAACAGGCAAAGCATTCACCATCACAAAAATTTATAAATATTAAACAATAAATCCTCCTGTCAATCTGAAGAGATGACAAACTCAGAAAGTCCTTTTTGTGGGTTGCAGCTTATCTTACCGAGTCTGTTAGCAGTCCCTCCAGTGTTGGAAATGCTGCAGCCCAGACCTGGCCCAGTGGCCACAGGTATGAACTGCCGGTGCTTTTCTGGGTTTTCAGTCTAGAGCAGGTTTAAACATCTAGGAAAAAGAAAAAACAGTCAAGAGAACTTCTCTGCCTCAGCTAGCTAAAAACTTAAATAAAAGCAAAGGAAAGCTCTCTCCTGCTGTCTGACCGTGCTGCAGACAACACAGTCCAGGAGAAAGATGTGGGGGAGCAAGTGATAAAAAACTGTGTGCTTCTTCTCTCCCCTGCTTTGCTCTTGGAACAAGTCTTAAAAATGCAAAACTTAATATCCAATATAAACAAAACAGACAATTAAGGATACAAGCATCATAAAGTCACTCCAAAATGCAGGCTGCAAAAAAACTGTCATTAAAGGCTAAAATTCCCATCCATTGTTTCCAGTCTAACAAGGCAATTTTTGCCAGGAAGTATTTAATATTTTCCTCCCAATATCCCACCCTTCTCTTGACTTGCCCTTTTCTTCCATTTATTTCATAATTGTCATCTGCTATCTTCCATCATCCACTAGTAATGAAATTTTAACTCTACATCTTTGATATATTTTTGATGAAATTTACATGCTACACTATTAAAATAATTACATTTTCTAATGTGCAAACACTGAATACTGTAATTTCTAGCAGCAACATGGATATCAGCTATATTGTTAATAAATGATGTTTTTCCCCATATAATTTGAGTCTTGGTTTTAAAGGCAAACAAAAGACCTAAAAGTGATACCTCTTACCTTTCAAAGAGCAGACAACTTAAATGTTTTTTGTTAATATAAACTAGGAGCAAAATCTGTAACTGACAACATCAAAGAATATGCCTTATTACATATCTGGCAGCCTTAGTGTGTAGTAAAAGCTCAATTTTGCTATGATGTGTGCTTTACTACAAAGCCACAGCTCATTTAAATTTACACCTCAGTAGTGGCCACTTACGTAAGAGGCTGCTGGTAGCACCATCTATTATTAGTAATGTCTGACATGTTTTTGGAAAGAAAGAATCACTAGTGTTCCCATCCTTCAGGGTACAGGACTGGTATTTTTAGGGCTACCTTTAACCTCAGGGAGATGTCTGTGCCGTCCTTGAGTAAAATAACTGCCCATGTTATTTTCCTGGAAAACTCAAATTGTGTGTAACCTGTCAAAGTCAATCAGATTCCAGAGCCTAAAGACCCCTGAAAGATTTAATTTCCTTAGGAAAGGAAGCTGATGCCCTGAAAAGCAGAGGGAAGAAATATTCAGTTCAAATGTATAAGGAAGAGGAGCCAGAGCAGTAGAGCACGGGTGATAACATGCATAAAGCTGAAGACTGGAAATCAGAGTTGGTGAAGTAGGGTATGCAGAGTGCCAAAGGAGGTACGGATAGTGAGATAGGAACTGAGCTGCTGTAGCAGAGGTACGTTTGCACGCAGATGGAGGAGAGGAGCAGATGTGTGCGGCTGAACTGCCTGTCACAGGGGCTGGGCTCTTGTCAGAAGCAAGATCCTTAAATCAGACCCTGGCAACGTGCAGGCACAGGGGGCCCAAATCAGTCCGAACAAAATTATCATCCTAGAGCTCCTTTCAGCAAGTGGCTTTTCATTGCAGAAAATCTCCCTGGCAATGTAGGCATTTCTTTCTCTCTGTAATGAAAATGTAATGCCTCCTATTCAGCTAAAGCTCTTCCGTTTATTTCTGTGAAATGCCAAAGAACGGCATAATGGTTGAAGCCCAGTGTTTGTAAAGGAGAAGACCAATTCTGTTCAGAACTTCAGACCAGACTAGATCAAGGCAGTCTCGATGCATACTTGCTTCGTGAGCAGAGTCTGACAGCGCATCTCGTAACAGGATTACGAATTTGACTGGTTTCAAACCCAAGCGCTCTGTGAGCCGGCGGGGTAGAACTGGGGGCCGGCATTTCAGCACTGCCCTGACATGATCCGTTCTGCACGCCTGGGGCTCCGCAGCTGGCCAGACACGGGCTCACGGCAGCAGAACCACTGCCGGCACAGCCCCGCGCCCGCGGGATGGCAGCGCGATGTGAGCGCAGGCACCTGTTCCAACACAGCGGAGGGGCAGCGACACCCTGGTGCGCTCCTCCCCTGAGCCTCCTCGCTCCCTGCGTCCTGAACACGGGCTCCTCTCGGCTCGGGACACGCCCGCCGGGAGCAGGGAAGGATGAGAGGACGCTGCTTCACCGGAACGCTCCGGGCCCTCCCGCGCCCGGCAGCGCTCCCGGGCCTGGGCGAGCCCAGCGCAGGCGCGGAGCTCCCGCGCATGCCCGCAGCGCCCCC